CGGCATTACCTGCAAAGAAGAAAACGTGACGAGTGCATTGATGATGATGTGATTTGAGTTGACTTTAATGACCAAGGGCGTGTATTGTGGTCAAATGTGGCGGTGTGGTTTCTTGACTCGAAAGTACTGATTTGATGTGCGGCGTGTTTTCCAGGTGCGACAGTGTGAATGATGGACCCGTTTTATAAAGCTTTAATTAAGTTTCGGTGTCGGCGGTACGATGATTGTGTTCAATTGTGCGGCGAACTCTTGGAGAGAAACTCTGTGGATCAGGTGAGGGATTCTTTTTAGAATATTTCTTTATTTATTTTTTTCGTGAGCTGATGCAAGTCTCGACGCTTTGATTAGGAACATTAAAGTGGGGTGTTGTGTGTGAAACAGGCTCGAGATTTTCAAGAAGACCTTCTGTGTTCACGGGGTTGAACTGCATTTTTTAAAATCTAAAATTATCGAACTCGAGTGAAATGCTGTAGTATCTCGTTATAACGAATAATCTCTTACAAAGGAGTCGTTTTTCGGGTCCCTGTTCGATAGCCACAGAGTCGAATGAATTGCTTTGCGGACATTTTTTTGTTACAAGGAAGATATTTTGCTGGTCCCAATGACTTCGTTGTAACGAGATTTTAATTTTTTCCTTAATGTAATTCAACTTGATGCGTGATGAACTTCGTGAAGCAACAGCCTCTGTGTTAGAAAACTATTTCTTGCTTGAGATATGTGGTCAAACCTTGATATAGTGACATCATTTGTTCCTAGAACATTTTGTAGTACTAAGCAAGGATGGCACCAAATCAAGTGTATTGTATGATGAGGAAGGTTTAGTTCAGGGGGTTTTACTGTCGGCAAAATAAGCTCATTTTCAGAATTGTCTGAGCCATTGAGTGTGTTGTGTGAGATAAACCGGCCAGAAATAATTTCAACTTGAAGCATGCAGTTTTTGTTCTGTATTTCATTGCATAAAGCATGCAATTTTAAATTTGTATGCATGCCTTTTATGATTCGTATGCCTTGTTGAGTGAAAGAACAGAGTTGTTTGATTAACTTTTGTTGAAGTTTTGTGTGTGCAGGAATCACCAATGGTTCCAGGAATGCTCCCACTTATTTATAAAATTTCCAAGAAAGGAAGTTGTCATGCTACGACAAAAAATAGTTTTTGAATAAATCCTAGCATGCTACAACAAAAAATAGTTTTTGAATAAATCTTGAGTTATATTTTTCAGCAGTATCCAGAGTTTTAGGTAAGCATGGGCATGTGATCCAGAGTAATAATTCTGTTGTGATTCTAAGGAAAGGCCTTAGTTTCTTTGATTTTGGTCTATTTTTCATTCATCACTTGAGATTTCTTGTGACACAATGTGAGTTGTCATTAAATTTGGATTTCTCTTAAGAACACTGTTAAGGGAGCTTTGTGACACTCTGCAAATGTGGTACCAAACTGAGGATTGACAGTACAGTGGCCCCCGCCTAACAGACCTCCTGTGTAAGGGATTTTTGCCAAACAGACCAGCTCTGCAAGCAGTTTTTCCTCCCACCCAACAGACAAAATCCACCAAACAGACTTCTTTTGGTTTAAAATTAGTGTTGAAAATTGAAATTTTCAATTTTTTATGTAATTGAATTCGTGTAAAGGACTTTTCATCTAACAGACTTGTCCCTTGCACAAATCAAGTCCATTAGACAGGGGTTGACTGTATATTTATTGTTCTTGAGTTGGCAACTGTAACATGCCATAAGCCAACTAAGGCTCTCAGTGTTTTTTTTTTTTT